CATCGATAGGATGAGCAAAAACGAAATGAATCCTCCGCTGAAACGTGGAAATATACACCGCCACTTTTTGATTTGCTCATTATATCGATAGAAGTAGCGTGCGGCGAGGGGCGGGGTTGGAGACTTAGCTGTTGGCCGAGGTTGGAGACTTATCGGCTCTCTCTCTCTCTCACACACACACACACACACACACACACACACATTCCATCGATAGGATGAGCAAAAACGGAATGAATCTTCCGCTGAAATGTGGAAATATACACTGCCACTTTCTAGTAAAATCGGAATGAATCGTTCGTGTGTGTGTGTGTGTGTGAGTGTGTGTGAGAGAGAGAGAGACACAGAGAGAGAGAGAGAGAGAGAGAGAGAGAGAGAGAGAGAGAGAGAGAGACGATAACTCTCCGACCTCGCGGCTCACGCCATGCTACTTCCATCGATAGGATGAGCAACATCCAATGAATCTTCGGCTAGAACATGGAAACATACACTACCTGGTTGAATCTTCGGCTAGAACATGGAAATATACAGTACCTGGTTGAATATGGCCGACCGCGTCATGCTACTTCCCAACCKCCCCCCGGCGCGGCGCGAGAAAAAACGGTAGCGAAAAAAGAGCCTGTTCATAAAGTCGCGCCGACACCGACCACCCACCGCCCCCCCCGTCACGACCGCACCCGTCCCGGCTACCGGCCTCCTCAACCGTCGCGCCCTCCTAGGTCTCCTGTGGCACCGCGCGCGGACCTCCCTGCCCGAATTTCGCTGGGCCCAGCATGAGCGTCACGCACGGACCGCTTTTTCCTTTAAGGTATAAGAGATGAGATGAATGTAATGAATCCAGTCACGTTGGAAAGCCAATCAGCAATGCAATTGAAATCTGAACCCAGTGTGACCCATGCAGTCTCCAATCGTCAATTATATTTCCGAGTCTCGATCAAATGCACATTTCAAAAGTATTATCCCGTCAAAGAAGAGCACAAGAGAAGAGTAAAGGGAGAGATGAGACAGAGAAAGGAGGAAGAGTCTCGATGATAATCAATAGCTCATGTATGTCTTCCCCTCTCCCACTCCTACTTCGGGCTCCTCCCCCAATGCCATCTCACTACTGCATGTTCCCTCTGCGTCTACACTGCCGGAACTGGGTGTCCCATCCTCCATCCACGTCAACAATCAATATGGAGGATGGCGTAGCACTTCCTCAATATTGTTGTCCCAATTGAGCTGTTCTCAGCATTCACTTCTAACTGTTTTTATCAATCAGCAGAGACAAGATGCCATCGCCAAAGGCATCCATGCTTTTCCGTGCTCACAGTTTCCGCATTTCCTGATGCTAGTTTGATATGTGGAAGCACAGTTACTGTCATTGGCATCGCATTGCGCACAACATCAAACAAGGGTTAAGAGCAAAGCATGGTGCTACCCACGTGACATTCCCCACCCTATAGCCCCCTCCATCTTCAGGTTTGTGTAATGACCCACCAAAACACAGACTGAGAACACTGCTGATTTCTGGGATTTGCCGCTGGAATGAATGCCTTGCTGAGATTCCCGCATTCTGCTGTGGTTTCCAAGTCTATGTGTGTGTGCGTGCCTGCTGGTTTGCATGCCTGTCCGAGTGCTTGACGGTTGAGTGTGTGTGTGACCCGCAAGGGTACTTGTTGGTTGAAAGGCCCCGCAGGGCCGGTACTTACCTGTGGCCGTGGCTTTGAGGGTTGCAGCGGGGAAAACACTCAAGTAGCGGGGGTAGGCCCGCGACACTTAGAGCAGCGGGGAAAAACACTGGTAGGCCGGTATCACTCAAGTAGTGGTAGGAGTGTCCGGTACTGGAGGCCGAGCAGAAGAAGACAAAAAGTTGGCATTTTTAGAGGCCTAGTAGTGGTAGGATAGAGGTAGGCCGTTACCAGTCCAAGTAGCCTGAGTCTAGGGCCTGTCCGGGCGATAGCAGAGCCTGCAATGATGTTTCCCTCCGAAAGGGAGGAGGTACCGGTTGCTGGGAGGCTGCTCGGCCTAGGAAGTCGCCGCCCAAGAGGCCAGCAGGCCGCTATATCTTCCGGAGGAGCAAGTAGCTCCTCCTCATTTGCGGCATGCAAGGATTGGCGACATGCTGCTGAGCGAAGCGCTGGACTGGTACACTGCTGCCTGGAGGTGAAGGGCAGCTGGGCGCTCAGCCTGGCTATGGCGAGCAGCCCAGCCTGAGGAGGAGGAAGAAGGGGGCGAAGGAGGAGAGTGGCGAGGCACCTACCTGGCTATGGTGGACACCATCTTCATCACCTTGTTGGGCGCGGCATCTGGAAGGCCCCAGTTGGGGTCGTGCCGCACCAAGGAAGCTTGAGGCAGAGTCAGGCATGGCGGCTTAGTCAGCAGTGGCATAGCTGCTTTGGGTTGTCCTTTGGACAGGAGTGCAGCGCCATAGCCATAGCTATGGTGGACTTGTTGTTGTTGTTGTTGTTGTTGTTGTTGAGTCAGCAGTGGGGGGGGGCTTGGGATATTGATTCTGGTTTATCCACTCATTGTTATTATTATTACTGGAAGAAGAATAAGATTGGCGAAGTGAAGGAGGAGGAGGAAGGTGGAGAGAGAAGGGGGTATTTGTCATTGGTCTTGCGGGTGTACATCTTCTTCTTCTTCTTCTTCTTCTTCTTCTTCTTCTTCTTCTTCTTCTTCTTCTTCTTTCTCTCTTCTTTGGTCTCTATCTCTCTGCAAGTGATTTCATTTCTTTCGCAATTGGGTGGCATTTTCTTTCATGGTGAGTTTGCACTTTGGGAATGACCAGGATCGTAACATTTGCCTTTTTCAACCAACGAGTGACAAGACCTAACTGGGTTAGTATTTCGTAGTAACGATGCCCAATGTCCACTGGCACCCTAGCTGACAGGATAAACTGGCAATAGAGACCTGTCCGGGTTCAAGCAGTGAGTTTGAGCAGGTGCACCTGCCAGCATTTAAGCAGACAGGATTGGGCACGAAGAACCTGACATCAGCTTGTTGTTTACCCCCTCAGCTTCCCCCCAAAATACTTTTGAGACATCATAGGGGCTGTTACGGGCTGTAAATCTTGTGTAGTCAGCAGTCCCTGTCTCATGAAACATAAAAGTCAGCTGTGAGTGAAAGCACATTCAAAGTTTCAATATCGTATGTGCATACAACACCTCTTCTGGCCAGAAATCCCAGTCACGCAGCAGATCTGGACAAAAATGGTAGACAACTATGTGAATTACACCTCCCAGCCTTTGAACTGCCCACCTCACCACCTGTACCTGCCTTGTGCATGCACAAATGTAACTGTCAATAAACAGTTGAAACACTGACGAGAACAATAATGTTAGGTCCCATCCTCCTGGCTAGGGGAAGAAAAAGGGGTACCTTCTTACCTCCCTCAGCAACTCCTTCGCAGATATATATGTATCACACAAAAGTCGTCCCGCGATGGCAGACATCAAACCTGGTCCTGCCCCACTCCCGTACATCTTACCACCACCTCCCAGGCGTGGCATCTGTGAACGTCGCAACCGGCCAATGCGCGACCAATATGGCACTTTGCATGCCTGCAAATTGGCCAGGCAAATAACAAGCAGAGGCAAAGCTGCAAATGACAAAGGTCTGTTGCATGCCACTTAGATGAAAAACAAGCAGAAACAATGCAAGAAAATTCTTCAATATTTGCAAACCTACAGATGGGAAACATCATCAAAACCAGAAGCACAGGGGAAGAACCCGACATGGCAGCCATGAACAACCATGTAGGGTACTGCTCTAAGCCCACTTGAACACCTCATAAAGCATTTGCTTGACGCCCAGTCAGATAACTAGGCTAGCCACTAATGAAGCCAAATGAGCACTCACCAACCACAGGACTTTACCCAATTAAGCAAACAGCAACTGCAACACAAATTAAACTGTCAAGCAGAAGGCCAATCTACACAGCTCTTTCATTTACACACAAGCCCCACCAGCACGCTCTGGAGAGAGCACGATCACACATAGATTAATTAAATGGAAAGAGAAAATGCACAGCAATGATCTTCGCCATTACTCACGGAAGTAGGAGAGTACAGTGGAGAGACAGTGAGGTATGGACATACACACTTACACAGACACTCCTTTCTTGCCCCATACCTCTCCTATGGAACCCCATCACTCGCGCTATACCTTCTCTTGTCGGTTCAATGGAAAATCTCACAGAACGCTGACGGTCAATTCTCTCCTGGCACTCTTTGTGGCAAGCCTGCTGGCATGCAAGGAGGGTGAAGGGTACAGAAGGTAGATGAAATACCAGGGCAGAGCAGCCTTTGCTCCATGCTGCTGTCAATGTCGGCATATCCATCCATGGTGGAAGAATGCATCTTCCTCCTGCCTGTGAGTTTTGAGGCCATGTAAGGCATCAATTTGGAGCATACTTGCAACAGCACCGTGCGGTGTGCCGCACGATATGCGGTGCGGCACCTGCCCGTGCACCGTCCCAGCAGCAGTTTCCCTCTGTTTTTTTGTTTTTTTTGCTGTTTTTGCAGATGCAGAAGAGTCCACCACGTAAGGAAGAGATAGCTTTCAAGTACAGTCGTACAGATTTAAAGTTTTGTCCAATTGGCCATGAGAAATAGCCTCAAATAGGTGTTACGGACATCAGTCTTGACCTTTAGGCAGCAACATTGCTCTCCCACTTGGTTTTTGTTTTTTTTTCCCCAAGTTTTACGGAAAAACAGAACCCTTAATCCCACAAATTTTCGACCGGGGGGCAGGTGACCATTGACCCAGGCCTGTAAACCCTTTCTTCCTGGGTGAATATTTCCCTCATGCACTGCACCGTGCAGGTCTGCTCGCACGAGGTACGTGCGCAATTTTCCACACAGCGTGCGCTTCCATGTAGATTTGGAGGTATGAAACACAGGATAAGTCTTCAGATCAGAGGTATGCCCACGAGGTAAGAAGGTTCATCTGGACCACACTAACAACATGCAATATCTTTCAAGGTCCGGACCACTTAGGTAGCAGTTTTCTCCAGACACCTTCTTCAACAGCAAACTCGTCCATGCTCACCCATATATAATGCGCTTATTGGCTTGATGAGCCATCGCCTGTTGTGCCTTCTGCATACTCCTGATAGGTTCTTGGAGTTCTTGAGCAGACTGTACAGTGAACTCGCTTGTCCCAGGAGGGTACTTGAGCTGCTGATCCGGGAGAAAACAGTCCCCGGGCATGCGAAGATTCCTTCCTTTACGCAGCTCAGCAGTACCCATGGTCGCAGGGTGCACAGAACTGTTGTAAACACCTTCTTTAGGATAGGTTTGAAAGGGGGAAAAGAACGATATGTTTCAAGAAGGCAAAGGGACATAAGAATGTTTTCCATTAGAAGTGGACTAAGGCCTCAGCTGCTTCCTGTGGGTCAAGAATATTCTCCCCCATGCAGCCAGTTCCTTTCCAATGGGCTGCAAAGGTACGAAATCGAGGCAAATTCTGTAATCCTAATTCTCATATCGCATAGACGCTTCTATTGAACCCCATTCTGGGCCCAAAGTGTTTCCATTCATTCCCTTTTTTTCTGACGAAGGGTACTGACTTCCAACCATTCTTGTAATGGCCATGATGTTTTTTGAGCGGCTGATCATCCGTTCCGTACTTCACATTGTATCTTGAATTTATGACAGAGAGGTGTCATTCCTTCGGTGGACGAAGCCGCCATCACCTGTGTTTGCCAGTCAGGTGCTATGGGGGCTAGGGAGAAGAGCCACTGTTGTTAGAAAAGACTTCAACAGCCCAAACAAGTCTAAGAGAGAGGTCGTGCAATAAACAACTTCCAACTGTTCTCCTGTGGGAGATACACATGAACGTTCACACTGGTTGGAAGAGATCTGGAGGAAGAACCCAAGAAAACAAAAGTAATACCCCGCAAGGAGCCCACAATGTAACCCCCGAAGGAGAGGAAGCATACGAATCAGAGGTGGATGCTCAGTGAACAAAGCATTACCTGCATGCGATGTAGAAGTATGTCAAGATCGAATCCCGATATATTGTGCCCTACCAGCACATCTGGATCCAGATTGTGCAATTTACCCAGGAAACAGGTAAGCAAAGCATGTTCACTGCAAGAAGCCAAGCAAGCAAGCAATTCACATGCACACATCAATAAGACCGCACAAGACCACCTCAAACAAGTGAGTATATACAAACTAGGAGATTTGAACCACAAGTACCCAGTTGACAGCATCGAGACCTCCATGATGTAGTCCACAGCTTATGTACTATCCCATCGCCACTCAGCCAAGAATCTCATGACAACTGGACAAGAAACCTTTCCAAAAGTTGGAACCAGTTTTGAACACCATCTCACAGTTGCAGTGGTAAAGACATCCAGGTGTTATGGCTGAGATCACCAGTTCGAGTCCGTGTGGCCACGGATTTGGGTCCTGGCAAACATACTATTATCAGTATGCGAGCGCTATAACCTGCCAGGAGAAGATCACCTGGAAGTGGTGGTGGCGTCAGAGTTAGGGCGCTTAACGCAGTAAGAGTTTGGAAAAGTGCCTCCAGATGGTTTCAGTTGCGGAGACGGGCGTCGGGCATTGAGTTGAGCATCTTCCGCTGCAACTGTGCAGGGGACGGCTGAATGAGACGACTGGTATGGCTTCAGTTTTTAACACCGTGTTACAGTTGCAGTGGTAAAGACATCCAGCCGTTATGGCTGAGATCACCGGTTCAAGTGTGGCCACGGATTTGGGTCCCGCCAAACATACTATTATCAGTGACACTTCATGGGTGATAACAGACCAGAAAGATTGCACCAATCAAAGATCAAGAATGTCTGTCACTTCATACGAACACACCAACCTATACTTGCAAGTGCATGCTGTCAGCACAATTGAGTATGCGCAGCACACTGTCACACCGCACACGATCAGCACACAGTGCAGGGGCTCACAAAAGGTATGCGAAAAAAAAAAAAGGTGATGTAAAACATTACTTGAGGAACACACTTCCTCAACTTTCAAGTTATAGAATATGGACACGATCAGGGTGGCCGGCGTTCGGAACGGGCCGAACGCCCGAACGTACGGGACCCCTTGGGGATGCGTTCGGCCGTTCGGGCCGAACGCGAACCCAAAAAAAAAAAAAAAAAAAAAAAAAAAA